AAAGTGATCAAATTTGATGCTGTTCGAGGGATACCAAAGCTTAAAGTGGAACAGGATGGAGTTTGTTGTGCATGTGCTATTGGAAAACAAATTAGGGCTCCCCACAAAGCAGTAAAAATGACTACTACTGAGAGATGTTTAGAATTGGTTCATATAGACCTTATGGGACCAACACAAACTGAAAGCATTGGAGGAAAGAAATATATATTTGTGTGTGTTGCCGACTTTTCACGGTTCAGTTGGGTATACTTTCTAAGAGGAAAGTCAGAAGCGTTTAATGCTTTCAAAACTTGGTGCATAAGAATACAAAAGGAAAAGGGCGAACCCATTGTAAAAATCCAAAGGCTGAGAAGTATCATGGAAAGGAGTTTGAGAACATCCTATACTCAGACTTCTGTTCAGAAAATGGGATAGCTCATGAATTCTCTGCTCCACGAACGGCACAACAGAATGGGGTTGTGGAAAGGAAGAATCGAACCTGATGCGTAGTATATTTGCAAACAAATAATACTCGGAGTACAAGTTATCGATCCACAAGGAAGTGGTTGTATCAAGCACTAGTTACATTATTCATTAGAACTAATCCTAACAATTGTTTGGATGATTGATTTGCATAAAATAAACAAAATAAAGTATAGATTCAGGATTTTGAAAACAATTAGAGAGAAGATGAGATTCATGGGATTCAAGTATTTAATCACCTAGTGCCAAATCTTAATGACAATATTAAAATCTGGGTTTAACAAGTGTGAGGATGCAAGGTGGTATAGAGCTGCTCTCATAGTCACTAACACTAGTGAATTTCCACTCTCGTGGCTTAAACACCCAATAAAACAAGATCAAACATCATAAATTCCTAACTTCTACCATCTGTCGATATGCAATAATCAAGAATTAAGCTCCCTAACAAAAACACTAATCAAAGTAATGCCCAACTCTCGTTGTGACACAAACAAAGCAAACGAAACAAGTAACTATGGCCACTAATTACAAGCATCAAACAATATTATCACAATTGCAACACAAGTATTAAACCCAAATAATAATATATTAAAGAATCTGAGAGCACAGACACATAGGTTTGTAAACACTTTCTACCCAAGAATCTCTATAGAATTTAGCCAAGCATGGCTAAATTATACATAGCAAATAATAATAAAGGTAATACAAATTATCAAAAGAGCACAAGAATGAACCAGACGATTTTCTCAAATCTCCCTAGTCTTCTTTTCCTTCCCAAGATAACTTGTGGCTCTTGATTTCTCTCCTTATTCTCCAAAGATCTCTGAATTCTGAATTCTGAATTTTCCCTTAGGATTGAGGAAGGTGGGGTTTTATAGTTGGAACCAAACCGGGACGAAATCAGAATTTTCTTATTTAACTTTAGAAATTGCCGCCTAATGATATTTAGAAATTAATGCCGCCTTTTTATTTGATTTGCCAATCAAAACCATGTGCTTTAAATTGGAATTTGTTGCAGGTGATTCAACGCTGCTCTTCTTTCTTTCAGAATTTGAGACTGCCCCTTTAATTATTGCAATACAGCGCAATGTAGCGTCATTCGCTCGACGCGTCGTGCGATGACTCGATGCATCGAGACCTGATGGTCTCGACAGGAAAACTTTCTAGGCTGAAGCAGTACACATTGCCTATCATACAGTTAATAGAATCTATCTCATACCCGGTACCTCTCAGACACCATATGAGATATGCAAAGGGAAAAAGCCAAACTTGAAATACTTTTATCTGTTTGGAACCAAATGCTATGTTCTAATTGATCGGGAACAAAGAGGAAAGTTCGAACCCAAAAGTGATGACGGAATATTTCTTGGATACTCACCAAACAGTCGAGCCTATTGGGTCTACAACAAAAGAACTCAGACAGTCTTGGAGTCAGTAAATGTGGTTATTGATGACAATCCCAAAGAATCAAATGAAGCATCTATGACTGACTCTGAGTCAGATTCTCGTGTTAGTGATCCACCAAAATCGTATGATACAACCAAACTGACCGACACACATAAATCATCAGAAGAAAATGAGGGAAATCCAGACAAAGACAAATTGCTCTCTGATGAAGATGACAAAGACAAGCCCACCAGAACTCAGAAAAATCATCCATCAGACAACATAATTGGTGATCTAACTGATGGAATGCGCACCAGAAGCAGAGTAAGAAGTAATCTGATAAAAATAGCTGGTTTCGCCTGTTACACCTCAAAAATAGAACCAAAAATTGTGAAGGAAGCATTACAAGATGACTTATGGGTTAAGGCAATGCAAGAGGAACTACATCAGTTAGAAAGAAATCATGTATGGGACCTTGTCCCAAGACCTGACAGTGTAAATATAATCGGAACAAAGTGGATTTTCAAAAACAAAACTGATGAAGCAAGTAACATTGCAAGAAATAAAGCTCGACTAGTTGCTCAAGGGTATACTCAGATAAAAGGAGTTGACTATGATGAAACATTTGCACCTGTTGCTAGATTGGAATCAATCAGAATCTTACTAGTAATCGCATGCATACCGGGTTTCACACTATTTCAGATGGATGTCAAGACAGCATTCTTGAATGGATATTTACATGAAGATATCTATGTGGCACAACCTAAAGGGTTTGAAGATCCAGTTTATCCAAATCATGTCTACAAACTTTGGAAAGCTCTCTATGGACTCAAACAGGCTCCATGGGCATGGTATGAACGACTGACACTGTAACACCCCAGATTTTCGAAACTTTTAAAACATAAATAATAAAGGTAAATTCTCATTAAATCCCAAACAGAGCAGTACTAAACATAAGAGCATGGGGTGTTATGCCACATCTGAGCTGGAGAACTCAGATGCACAGGCTAAACTATCTAATTATCCTTAAACAACATCATTACATCATTATGGCACGCAGGCCGAATATGAAACTATCTATCTAAGCCTTGGGTCCTCTAGCGTGCTCCGGAGCTAATCGTCTGTGCCTGAAAGCCAAATATCTCTGTTCAGCGAATAATGCTGGTAACCCAGCGAATAATCGTCTGTGCCTGAAAGCCAAATATAAGAAAAACCATTTTGAAGCAGGAATAGATATCCTAGGAAACTCTAGTTTCAAAACCGGAATAGACTCGACAGATAGGGATAAGCACATTCAACAGTTATAACCAAGCATATAAAGATACTAGCATATATCCTACGGTCACAGATTCACTTTATCTCATTCATATCATCATTCATCTCATCACACAAGCACACTTTGGTGGCGCCATAGGACCAATCGCATGCCCATACATGAGGGTCAGCGCATATAGCTCTGACACGGCCCCGCATATAGCTCTGACAGCGCATAATGTTTGATTGCAACCAAACAGTGGACCGCATCCCAAGAGTGATCATCTGACCGCAGCCAGGAATATGAACCACAGCTCATGTAAAACATTTGATCGCAACCAAACGGTGGACTGCAGCCCAAGAGTGTAATTCTGACCGCAGCCAGCTTCTGAACCGCAGCTCAGGAATAACCAATTTGATCGCAACCAAATTGGGGTATCATGCACACATAACACATAGCAATCACATGCAACCCACATTAACACATTGGGAAAGGGGAGAAAGCGTATAATGAAACTTATGCGTGATCATCCACATACTAGGAATAATCTTAAGGGGTTCTTACTTCTTTCACCTAGGCCAACGGGATACCAATTCAACTAGCATGCGATACACAAGACTCTTTTATCCTACGAACGGTACCCGAAACATCAAACTAGACTTAGGCACGATAAACGGAGTCCGTTGGGACACCACGAGGGTCGGGGAAACATCAAATGGAGGAAACCACCATCCCGACGTGAGAAAACCAGCGGGTGGCCAGCGGGTGGAGGACCACCCGCCGGTAGCGAGGCTACTGGGCAGCGGGTGCCCGGCGGGCAGTCGCCTGCCCGCTGCCGGCGACGCCCTTAGGGGCAGCGGGTAGGTGGCGGGTTTCCCCTATCCCCCACTGACTCTTTATCAAAATAACCGTCCCGGGATCCTTTGTGGAACCCGAAACCATGCTTAGACACTTTTAAACGCAATTGATGACACCACGTAGACAATTAATGGATCAAAAGCAAGAATCAAATAGCACATATCCTATCATGACTTCTAAGCATAATTAACACCCGAACATGCGAATTCCCACCCAAATATATCAAGAATACCACAATATGAATTTCACGATTCATCCTAGGGCTCTAATCATATTTAAATAATCAACATCATAGTTCATCTTTTAACATCAAGGAACATCAAGATTTATCTAGAACATCACATAATCATCAAAAACTTCCTATCATCATCAAGATCATATCATCAATATCACAAACGATTTATCAAGACACGAGTATAGAGGAGAAGCCAAAGATGGAGATTATAGCAAAGAAAATAGGTTTTGTTAAGACATGGGTTACCTCTTAGCCTAAATTAATCATTCCTTGGCTATTAAGGTTTTTCCCTAAGATTTCCATCCGTTTTGATCTCCTAAGGCTTGGTGGTGGGGAGTCCCTTGGGAATTCTTGTGTGGTGATATCTATTGTGGTGTGACTTCTATATATATATATATATATATATATATATATATATATATATATATATATAGGAGTCCTAATTAGGGTCTGAATGGTATGGGTTTACTAATTCTATTCCTTATAGGACTAAGGACTTGTTTTAGGGATAAGGGTCCATGGTCCATGGTGGACCATATTAATTAATTAAAGAGAATCCTAACCATAATCTGAATAGTAAAGGTATACTTTCTTTATTTCTAATGGGCATATGACTCTAGTTTAGGCAAGGGTCCACGATCCGTGGTGGACCACTTTAATTAATTAAAGGGATTTCTAATCAAATTAAATCATTTTTAATTATTATTAATGAAATTAATTAAATAATTAATTTGGGATTAAAGGCCATAACACGGGGTGTTAAAGACGCAGTATCTATTACATCATGGTTATAATCGAGGAAGTATGGACAAAACATTGTTTGTCAAGACCACTGGGAGTCATGTTACAATTGCTCAGATCTATGTGGACGATAATGTGTTTGGATTTACTCTACAGAAGTATACTGATGATTTAGTGGAAGTCACGAAGAAAGAGTTTGAAATGTCCATGGTTGGTCAACTGACTTACTTCCTAGTTCTTCAAGTTAAACAAAGCCTCGAAGGATACTTTATCTCACAAGAAGAGTATGCGAAGAACCTGGTTAAGAAGTTTGATCTGGAATCATGTAAGACACCTAGGACCCCTATTTCAACCTCTGCAAATCTGTCCAAAGATGATGTCGGTCAGTCAGTAGATTCCACAGTCTATCGAAGTCTGATTGGGAGTTTGCTTTATCTAACAGCTAGTCGTCCTGTAACACCCCAGATTTTCAGGATATTTAAAACTTATAAAATAAAGGTGAAATCTCATTAATTCCCAAAACATAATACGAGAGTATGGGGTGCTATGCCACACCTGAGCTAGAGAACTCAGGTGCACAGGCTAACTAACTAATATCCTCAAATAGTATCAATACTAAATCATGGCACGCAGGTCGAAAGGGAAAAACTATCTAAGCTATGTCCAAGCTTCTAGCGCACTCCAGTGATCTACTCGTCTGTGCCTGAAAGCCAAATATATCTGTTCAGCGAGAGATGCTGGTAACCCACTCCAACGCGTTGAAATACAATACATATATAGATATATGAAAAGTCATTTTGAACATGAGGATATCTCCTACGAACTCTAGCTTTTAAAACAGGGATAGACTCAACAGATAGGGCGAAGCACAGACAGCAGTTATACCGAGCATATACAGTTTACAACAGGCAAGACAGATAAGATAAGCACAATTAATAATCATAACCCAACATATACAATCCCCGGTATAAATCTCATAGTCTCATCCCCAAGATACTCATAACAACAACTCATCCATTCTTCATCACATAGCACACTTTGTTGGCGCCACAGGACCAATCGCATGCCCATACATGAGGGTCAGCGCATATAGCTCTGACACGGCCCCGCAGCACCCTGCCCCGTCTCACAGCACGGAGGGGTCGATCGCAACCGACCGATGAGCCGCAGCTCTATATAATATTTATATACCTGACCGGTCTCTACCAGCCTGGTTAACAGTTGGGATGGTTCTCAACCCATTCAACTGCCCGTATAGTGGACCTCTGTCCTATATAATCTTTATATACCTAACCGGTCTCTACCAGCCTGGTTAACAGTTGGGATGGTTCTCAACCCATTCAACTGCCCGTATAGTGGATCTTAGTCCTATATAATATTTATATACCTGACCGGTCTCTACCAGCCTGGTTAACAGCCGGTATGGTTCTCAGCCCACCCGACTGCCCGTATAGCCCGATTGATCTCAACCAAGTCGGGGTAACATGCACACATAACACATAGCAAGCACATGCAACCCACATTAACACATTGGGAAGGGGGAGAAAACGTATAACAAAACCTATGTGTGATCCTTCACATACTAAGAATATTCCTAAGGGGTTCATACTTCTTTCACCTAGGTCAACGGGATACCAATTCAACTAGCATGCAATATATAAGACTCATACGACATACGAACGGTACCCGAAAATCAAACTAGACATAGGCACGATAGACGGAGTCCGTTGGGACACCACGGGGGTCGGGGGAACATCAAACGGGGAAGCCAAAATCCCCAATTGGGGTGCAAACCAGCGGGTAGCCGGTGGGTGAGGGTTCACCCGCCGGCGGTAGCCATTCCAGGCAGCGGGTGCCTGGCGGGCAGCTGCCCGCCCGCCGGCTGCCCGCTGCCGGCGTTGCCCAAGAAGGCCGCGGGTAGGTGGCGGGTCCCCTACCCCCACCTACCCCCCACTGACTCTTTTCATCAAAAACGCCCCGGGAACCTTTGTGGAACCCGAAACCATGCTTGGACACTTTCAAACGCAATTGATAACACACGTAGACAATTAACGGATCAAAATCAGGAAACAAACGGCACATAACCTATCATGCTTTTTCTAAACATAATAAACACCCAATCATGCAAATTCCCACCCAATATACCAAGAATAATTCCATACGATACAACCTAGGGTTCTAATCAATTTTAAATCAATAAGGTCACGATTCATCTTCTAATATCAAGATTCGGTAAGAATATTATATAAACATCAAGAACATCCTACAATCATCAAGAACATCATATAATCATCAAGAACGTCATATAATCATCAAGAACACCATAATTATCAGGAACCTTTCATCCTCAAGATCACCCATGGAATTATCCCATCAATCATCAATAATAACACAAATCATCAATACACAATAATATGGGGAAATCCTAAGAGGGGAATCATAGCTATGAAAATAGGTTTGGTTGAGACATGGGTTACCTCTTAGCCTTAATTAATTCCTTGGCTATGAAGGGTCTTTCTTTAAGCTTTCTTGCTTTCTTGATTTCTTCTAAGGGGATTCTTGGAGCTCTTTGGGGTGGTGGAACGTTTATTGTGGTGGGGGGTTTCTAGGTGCCTCTTAAGCCCCCTATTTATATATTTAGGAGTCTTAGTTAGGAACTAATATTATAGGTTTGCTAATTCTATTTCTTTTGGAACTAAGGATTGGGTTTAGGGATAAGGGCCCATGGACTATGGTGGGCCTTTCCTAATTAATTATTGTGATTTAATTCCTTCTTTTGGGTAGTTGGCTAAATGATTTAATTGATTTTAGGGATCGTAACACGGGGTGTTACACGTCCAGACATAATGTTCAGTGTTGGCATGTGTGCAAGATATTAATCAGATCCCAAAGAGTCACATCTAATAGCTACAAAATGGATTTTGAAATACATCAAGGGTAAAATTCAGTATGGATTATGGTATTCCAAGGACAGTGAACTGAGTTTGATCGCATACTGTGATGCTGATTGGGCAGGAAACATCGATGACAGGAAAAGCACATCAGGTGGATGCTTCTTTGTTGGGAAAAACATAGTGTCATGGCTAAGTAAGAAACAGAGCTCAATATCCCTGAGTATGGCCGAGGCATAATACATAGCAGCTGGAGGGTGTTGCACTCAACTTGTCTGGATGAAGCATATGCTGCTGGATTATGGCCTCTCTCAAGACTCTATGACACTTTATTGTGACAATATTAGTGCCATAAACATTTCAAAGAATCTAGTTCAACATTCCACACTACTACAAAATACACCTACCACGGCGGTTATTTTTATAAATACACGGCGGTTCTTGAAGTGCCGTGTAAGTGACCGCCTTTGTAAATATAGACTTTCTACGGCGGTTTTTTTGAACCGTCGTCTATACTTCATATATACGGCGGTTGCTAACAGCCGTCTAATCTTACAATGTATGCCGTGTAATCTCAACAATTATATTTATAGACAACGGTTTTCTTGAGGAACCGCCGTCTATACATATAATTTGGACCTTAAAAAGTATGTATAGACGGCGGTTCAAAGAAAGAACCACCGTCTATACATATGTTTTAACGTTCAAAATATATGTATAGACGGCGGTTTTCTTGAGGAACCGCCGTCTATACATATAATTTGGACCTTATAAAATATGTATAGGCGGCGGTTCAACGAAAGAACCGCCGTCTATACATATATTTTTTAATATTTATAATTTTTTTTTTTAAATTTCCACTTTGTAAATCTCTAATATCAAATACAATTAAAAACTGCACAATTGCATCAAAATGCATACAATAATTCCAGTACTACAAATTTGTAAATCCCTAATTTCATATGTAATAAAAAGTTGTTCAATTGCATCAAAATGCATACAATACATCAACATGATATAATCAATCACAACCAATACTAATAACTAATACTAATTCATTGTCATAATTATATATATAGCTGTAATCTAAAAATCAAAAAAACTTTTGCACCATAAATTTCTCATCCCATCAATTTGTTCTTGTGAACATCTTTGAGTATTATCGAACATCTACAAATTTAAACTCAAGTTAGAAAGTTAGTATTATGAAAATAATTATAAACCGAAACCGATAGCCAACTAAGAGCTATCATTTAGGAATAAACTGATCATTGTCAGCACTGCCTTCTCCTCAACTTCTTAGGCTTGGAAAGACAAGGGAACAAGGGCACAACTCAAGAAGCACAATGTACAACCCTTTGACTTAAGTGACTAGTCAAAATCTAGTCCATCGACTATTAAATTTCAGGATTTTAGAAATAGATTAGCAAGGAAACTTGGATTAATTCTTCAATTAATCCTTGATTAGTGTTTGGATTTACGGGGTGTCACATGGATCTCCTTGTAAGTTCACCCAAGGAAATTAAGTTGCAGTGAAAGATAGGCACACAGAGAACATTGAATAGAACTAGATCTTCTGACAACTAAATTGTCCCTGTTAGTGCATTTTTTTTTTAGAAAAACCCCAACATATAATTGACAGTATTATTATGGAAAATTAAGATAGAATTTAGCTTGGTGTCTATTTTGTTCCTGAAGATGACTGATTGATCAGTACAACCAACAGACGCACCACCGGATCAAGCCACCGAAGATCAGATAAAGGAAAGTTTCTAAAACATGGAACACGGTTATGAGATGATAGTTTTGGAAAGAATATCAGCGAATCAACTTAAGAGGTATGGACCGAATCTTAAGATTTCTTTCTTCACAAAAAGTCCCATCATATACGATCAGAGATATATTTGGAGAGTGTCCAAATCAAAGAAGTACATATATTCTTATTCGCTCAGAAGTTAGGGTTGCATTGATTGAAGCCGCAACACTCTATACTAAACAGAATATACATCTCTGATTGTCATGCCCTTTTCAAGACTATGAGATCTTGGTGCTTGCGAAGAAGAACTTGAGAAGCATCAACATTGCTTAATCTACAGAATGCGAAGATCACTCAGTTGTGGGAACAATGTGGGGCTGTGTCATTGAAGCGGACTGCATCACAGTTAGCTGTTCCAATTAAAGGGATTTCATTGAACTTTTGAATACGTGGCTCTCCGACTTCAACAATCCACTAAACCTTTGTAGACTGGGTACTGACCTTGTGTGGGGCACTTGGGTGAGATTGTTTTTCTCTACTTTTGTACATTGGATTATGAGTTAGTGGATTGGACGCATCGGCGATCGTCCCCCAGATGTAGATACATACTGTATCGAACTAGGTAAACAATCATATGCGTTGATTTACTTTCTGCATTAACCTTCCGCGTGACTGTTTAAACTAGAATCTAAATCAGTTAATCCGTATTCAACTTCTAGAAACTAAATCTTAATTTGGATTAAGAGAATATGCAAAATTATAGTCCCTATATGTGAAACTTGGGCTTGATGTCCATTAGGTAAATCAACAGATATTCCTTGGACCTTCTTGGGATTTTGCAACAGATTTAATTTGTAGACAATGTGATGTGTGGCACGACTCTCCAAGATCCGTAAGGATTCTGAGTCTGTCAAAGCATTGCTAGAATTAATGCCCTTACCTTCCATTAGCCTGGGGAGCCATTTGGAGAGGAGAACTAATAGCCTTAGTCTACTGCATGAATTCCAAGAACCTCCTATAATCTTCTTGATTGAAAGAGGAAGAATTAGCTCCTATATTGATATGTTCTTGTGGGGTGGACTGCACTTGATTAACAGCCCCCATTCCTTTGTTTCTTGGCTTCCACCCGGGAGGATACCCATTTTTTTTGTAACATTTCTCAATTGTATGCCCAGTATATCCACAGAAACTACACACTGGTTTCTGTTTCTGTTTGTTCTCATACTTTGTGAAGAAGACTCCTGCCCCTGCTAAGCTTTCATTCACAGAAATGGAGACTTCATGAATTTGTCTTTCTTGTTGTGAGACCATAGCAAAAGCCTCCCCAACATCAGGTAATGGTTTCATCAACATAATCTGTCTCTTAGTGTTATTGAGATCATCATTTAGGCCAATAACAAAAGATGATAGCATATCATTCTCTAATTGTGCCCTAATTTTCTCAGACATATTGCTACCACATTCATAACTGATTGGTGTGAAATCACATGAAAGAACAGGTCTCAATACTAATAATTCGTCCCATAGCAGTTTAAATTGAGTGAAATAGTCATTCCCAGATGATGTACCTTGTTTTGTTCTATAAATCTCGGATTGGAATTCTACAATGCAGAAGACGTCTTGCTGGCTAAATCGTTTCTTCAGATCCCTCCATACACCCTCAGCAGTGTTAATCCAGAGTATGCTTCGTCCAATGGTGGGAGACACAGCTCTAAAGATCCACGATAGGATCGTTGTATTGCATTGATACCAGTAAAAGTACTTGGGATCTGATTTGTTGGGGATTGCTAGGGTTCCATCAGCTAGAACCATCTTGTTCTTCGACCTCAATGCCATCTCCATGGCTCTTGCCCATGGATGGTAATTCGATCTGCCTTCCAACTGGACTGTCACGAGCTGTAATGAAGGACTCTCATTGGGGTGAAGATAAAGGGGATTAGATCGATCCTTGGGGTCGTATGTTGCGAAGATTAGAGCTGGTGCTGGTGTATTCCCTGCTTGCATGGTTGGGTTGCTTATTGCTGGATTACTTGCTGCCATTTGAGGACAATTCAGAGGTGTCTGCCAAGCCAT